TGAGGAGGCACCGAGATGAAAAAACATTGGAGGTTCAGTCTGTGCTTAAGTCACCTCGACTAACGTTATCTTTGTAACACCTTTGACGAGATGGGCATAGGGAGACAAGTTAGAACTTCGTGATAAAGATGGGCTTAGGCAGAGACTAGTGAAGACCCACCTAGTCGAATTCTCGAGGGAGAGAGTATTCACCCTAGAATCCATCTACCTCATCCTCACAATAGGGGACCCCCAATGCTAGTCCACAATGACAGTACATTTTCTGGTGGTAGAGGACCCCTCTGCATACAATGTTCTTCTATGAAGATCTTCCCTAAACGCCATGAAGGCAATCCCATTTACTTACCACTTGCTGATAAAGTTCCCAACTAAGAATGGTGTAGGTATGGTTCGAGGAGATAAACGCATAGCTAGGGAATGCTACGTGCCTTCAATGAAGCAAAAGGAAATTGAAGCTATATTGCTGGATTATGTCGACATAAGGGATGAGCTAGAACCAAGGCCATACCCTTGGAAGAGCTAGAACCTGTTCAACTACCTAGGAAATCTGGTGTATCTCGACTCCAAGCTACTCAAAGAGGTCAGATGCCCTCATATCCAGTTGCTCAAAGCAAACCTAGAAGTATTTGTTTGGAAACAAGAGGACATGCAGGGGATCGACCCAACAGTCATAGTCCATAAGCTCAACGTCGATCCAAACTACAAAGCTATCAAGTAGAAACAAAGAAGTTTCGTCTCTGAACATTAAAAATCCATAAATGTGGAGGTCTCCAAACTACTCAATGATAAAACTATTAGAGAGGTAGATTATCTGAGTTGGCTAGTGAATGTAGTTCTTGTGAAAAAAACCCAATAGCAAGTGGCAGATCTATATTGATTTCACCGACCTAAATCGCGCCTGTCCTAAGGACAGTCTTTTGCTTCCTAGAATCAACTTAATTATGGATGCCATGGCGGGGCACAAGCTGCTAAATTTCATGGATGCCTTCTAAGATACAACCAAATCAAAATAGACCCCAATAACCAAGAAAAGACGCAATTTGTAACTGAGCAGAGGACATACTGCTACCAATTCATGTTGTTTGGGTTAATGACATGCCCATAAAATCACTGAGGACCGAGCTTCATATTAGTACCTCAAAGAATCTTTCTAGATCCTCAAAAAGTATAAGCTAAAGCTCAATCCTGTGAAGTGTGCCTTCGGAGTTTGTATGGAGAAATTTCTGGGCTTCATATCAACAGTCGAGGTATAGAAGCCAACCCCGAAAAGGTCCAAGTGGTAATCAATATAAAGTCACCCACCAATATAAGGAGATTTAGCGTCTAATAGGAAGAGTAGCTATGCTGACCCACTTCGTCTCTAGATCAAGCGATAAATGTCAGTCTTTCTTCAAAGTACTGAAGGTAGTATTTCGTTGCAACGAACAATGTGAGGAGGCATTCAAAGCCCTTAAAGAATATTTGAGTTTCCCTATGATTTTGGTTAGCCCTTAAGAAGGGGAAGTCCTTACCTTATACCTCATTATGTCTAACTTCTCCATGAGTGCAACTTTAGTAAGGGAGCAAGAAAGAGCTCAGCAACTAGTGTACTACTGTAGCCGAGCTTTGAGTGGTTCAACAGAGAGATACCTAAAGATGGAGAAGTTGGTTTTACCCTTGGTAACAACAATAAGAAGACTCAAGCCTTATTTTCAAGATCATACGATAGAAGTCTCAATTGACCAATCAATGAAGTAGATCCTGCACAAACCCGAGTCGTTGGGAAGGTTAGTTAAATAGGCAATCGAGCTCAGCAAATTGGACATCAGATACAAGCTTAGAACCACCATTAAGGGGGTGAATTTAAGCTGATTTCATCGCAGTCCCTCATCCATAGAACAAGAGGCATCTCAGGAATCAAAAAATCTCATACTTGACTTGCCGACATGGAAACTTTTAGTTGATAGGGCATCCAACACACAAGGTAGCAAACCTAGTTTGATCCTGACATCACCAGTTGGAGTAGACCTAGAATACACCCTCAGGTTCAATTCAAACAATGAATCAAAGTATGAGACCATGATTGTCAGACTTATGTTAGCCCATTTAATGGAAGTGGAGTAGCTCATTATATCCAACGACTCACAATTGGTGGTGAGGCAGATCAAAGAGACATACAAAGCCAAGGGAGAAATGATGGCCCTGTACTTAAAAAAGGTGAAAGAATTACTAAAGAAATTTGTTTAGGTCAAGGTAGTGCAAAACCCTCAAGAAGAGAACTCCTGAGTAGACGTTTTAGCCAAATTGGTCATAGCCTCACAAGAAAGCCTAGACAGATTTATCCCGGTTGAACACCTGATCGAGCCTTCTATAAGCTCTAAATCAAAAGAAATTCTTCATGTGGAGGCACAATCGACCTAGATGGACCCAATCTTAGCTTATTTACAAGATGGAATTCTACCTACAAATGCAAAAGAAATAGTAAAGCTAAGGGTTAGGTCATCCAGATTCACCATCATCTAAGGAAAGCTCTACAAGAGAGGCTTCTCTTCACCTCTCCTGACATGATGAAGCAAACTACATTCTAAGGGAAGTTTATGAGGGCATTAGCCTGCCAAAGCACTAAGGTAGGGATATTTATGGCCCACAATTACTAAAGACTCAAAGGAGCTGGTCAGAAATGCAAGGTTTGTCAACTCAATGCGAATATCCCGCACTATCCACCAAAACTCCTCGAGTAATGCTACATGGACTTAAATACTAAACTTGATGATTATAAACATTGATTTCACTGGGAGTCCTAGTATTTAGTGGGATCTACTACCTATTCAATGGTTGTGATTATCAAGTATAGTTTTTAAGTCCATGTAGCATTACTTAAACTCCTCACATCGGTGATAAGTCATTGACCTTTCCAGTAGTGGGGATTGGATATACTTGGACCCCTCCCAATTACCATAAGGCAGTGCAAGTTCACCATAATTGGGGTCGATTATTTTACCAAGTGGGTGAAAGCAGAGCCCTTTGTAAAGCTCACCAAGCAGAAAGTCAGAAACTTCGTTTCAAAAATCAGTAATTTTCAAATTTAGGATCTCTAAAGCCCGAGTCTCAGACAACAGGAAGCAATTCGGGAATTTAGGATTCACGGGATTCTGTGCCGAGCTAGGCATAAAAAAATACTTCTCTATGTCAGCTCATCTATAATCTAATGGACAAGCAAAAGTAACCATCCGACCTATTAAATTAGCTTTGAAGATCAGGCTTAAAGCTTCAAAAAGCCAATGGATAGAACATTTGCCAAGGATATTATGGGCTTACAAGACTACTACTAGGACAGCCACGAACGAGACACTTTTTGCTCTGGCCTATAGTACAGAAGTAGTAGTTCCCATTGAGATAGGGGCCCCTTCTCAATGGATAGAGCTAGTATATCCACATTATAAAGACAGATTGTTGCTCGCTAGTCTCGATTTGATGGATAAGAAAAGAAATGACGCCCTGAGTCACATCTCAGAGTATCAAAGAAAGGCAGAACGATATTATAATAGGAGAGTCAGACCCAGAAGCTTCAAAGTAGGAGATCTTGTCTTGAAGAAACTCCTCCTGGCTGGAAAAAACCTGTTCATGGAAAACTAAGATAGGAAGGATTGTATGTTGTTATAAGGGTAATCAGACCAGGGAACTACGAGTTGTATACTGGAGACGAAAAAACTCTACCTCACTTATGGAACACATACCATCTAAAGAAGTTTTACCAACATAACGAAGATGAGAGGCTTATAAAGATTTTTAGTTGATAAATGAAAGATTTGTTTTGTAGTTAACCCATCTCAAAGAATAAGTGTCAGAAAAATTATGAGCTCTACAGCTCAGATGAGCTTCCCAGATCATAAACAAATGATGAGTTACTAAACTCATAAACAAACGATGAGCTCCTCAGCTCGTGAAAATAAGATGAGCTTCTGAGCTTATAAACAAACAATGAGCTCCTCAACTTATAAACAAACGATGAGCCCATAAACTCATAAAAATGATGAGTTTCTTAGTTCATAAACATGCGATAATTTATTAAACTCATAAACAAACGGTGAGCTCCATAGCTCAGACAGGCTCTTTAGCCAATAAATGCAAGACGAGCTCTCCAACTCATAAATAAATGATGAGTCCTTAAACTCAGAAACAATGAGCCCTTTAGCTCATAAGTAATACCCTTGCAGCTCATATGAACTCTCTAACTCATAGGCAAAAGATGAATACTTAAAAACAAACAAGGAGATCCCCAAGCTCATGAATATCCAATAAGTCCAAGTTTGGGGGGCCACACAGACCACATACTTTGATGTGAACAATCTATCAACAAACAGTTTGATGTCATTACTTCTAGAAGACCAAGGCCTTCTTCAAGCAATGGGGCAAGGATGGAGATATATTCAAATCACAAGCAAGCATATGCAATCAAAAAGGGAAAACTGCTAAATCAGATAGATTTTTTGAATCAAAATATTGAATTGGAAAGAATTGTCAAATCAAAGTAAGATGCTATTAATCTAGAAAATCACAAAAATGAAAGATTAAGGATTAGCAGTAAGAGCAAAAGTTTCTTATTAACCCTCAATATCTCCAGACATTGTGGTACCAATCTAGACCTCGGGCAGTGCTAGATCCATTTTCATCTATTCTTTAGGAGGAGGAGAAGCTAGATTTGCTTGACCTTCAGGCATAGGATGAGTTGGATCTACCTGACCCTCTAATAGAACTAGGGCCAAGCTAACCACCTCATCCAGAACTAGTATTGGTAGAGTAAGGCCAGATGTAGCCCCGTCCACAAAGGAAGCCTCTTCTTCTCACTCTTTTGCCTCATCTTCATCCTCATCCTCATCCTCTCCAAGGGGAGGCTCAAAGTCAAAATTCAAGTTAAGATATTTCTTCATGCCCTACTTCTAGAAGGCAAGGTAGTCTTTGGCCCAAGCGGTGGCACTCTTGTCTTTAAGCTTGACTATTGTAGCTTCCATAGCTACCACCTAGGCCTTCTCGGCGTTGAGCTCCTTGTGGTAGGTGTCGCAGATCATACCCAGATCCTTGAATTCGTCTTTTGTTAGCATGACCACATCCCAAGATTCCACCAACTTCTTCTGAGCTGCCATCAAGTCATCCATCTTTGACTTGTCCTCTCTTTCAAGTCTTTCCTTGGATGAGTTTAACTCTTCCACTTTTTTCTTAGGTCCTAACCCTCGAAGGATAGGCCAGTGATCTGGAGCTCAGCGACCTTAAGGGATTGTCTAACATCCTCGACAGCTTTCTCTGAAGATTGGACTCTATTTACTAGAGCACCGATATATATTGTCACTTGCAAAGGCAAAATTGAACCTGAAGTTAGAAGCTACCAAGAGAGCTCCTTCAAACTAAGGTGGAAGTCAAGAACTTACTAAGGTCATCCCATATAAAGGAGTGGCAGTTGAAGTAGAGAGCGACATGGAGGAAACCTCCTATATGTCAGCTTTAGATATGATGGAGAGCATGGAGCTGGCAACTAGGTTCACATCACCTAGAAGGGAACGCTCACCTTTGGCCGAACTAGTTGGAGAAAGAAGAGGTATGGCCCCAGCCAAAGTCCCCGATCACCTCCTTAGGCAGAGGTAAAGGGATCCTAGCTAAGGTCTCAAGTACCTCCTTGGGCTGGGCAGAGGTCTTTTGATGGAACCTTATTTAGCTCCGAAGGAGGCACCACGGTCTTCCTGGTGGCAACGAATGGCTTGGGGGCACAAGGCACTTTCTTCCTAGTGTCTTGCCTTGGGACCTTCTCAAAAGGCTCTAGGTCGGCATCAAGTATGACTTGAGCCTTTCTCTTCCCTATCTTTTTAGAGGTCTTGGCATCGTCCTTCATCTTGGCCAACTTGGCCTTGATGACATTAGCATCTAGAGCCATGACATCAAGATCTACACAAAAGGAAAAGAGCAAGGGACAAATCTAAGATCCATCAAGTTTAAGAAACCATCATAAAAATGTTCAAGAATGAGGTTTTACTAGAAGAGTCTCCTCTAACTGCAGAGATAGGCACAATAGCTTCACCTCGAGGCTCTAGTGGCCTAAAATTGTGCTTGGTTAATATCAAAGGCGTGAGGAAACCAACATACTCCTCAGAGGGACACTCCTTAAGATCTCTAAGGAGAAGATTCTCATCAGCACTTAGGTTAGGGAGGAGAATGCCTAAGACAACAAAGGAAAATATCAGCGAGTAAAGAGATGAAATAAGAAAAGCTTAACTAAGGCACCTCAGCACAGACTCACTCAAGTTATCGGGGTCTGACCAGACTTGAGGCTCCAAACACAAAGAAGAAACTATTTTTCCAACCCTTGTGGGAGGTCTGTAGGTTGGTAATCAGATGTTGGGTATTTGCTTGTTTGGAGATGTAGAGGAAGCCGTCGGCAAGAGAGAATTTAATGTTGCAAATGTGAATGAGTAAGGTAATGGAGGGGGGAACCCACGAGGTCATTCTCTTTGAAGATAACCATGAGGCCGGCCAAAATACCCCAAAAGTTGGGAGAAATTTGAGTAGGGTAGACGTTAAAGTGCTAGAGCACAAACTTGAGGAAATGGTTCATGGGAAACCTGAGCCCATTCTCAAATGTCGTGATAAAGTAACTTGTCTTGTCAAAAAGAACATTGTTATAATAATTATCAATGTTGGAACACCAAAGGCGGATACCCTTTGGATTGCCAAACCTAGCAAAACGCATACCCAAAGAGGAGTCACCAACAACCTGAGCATCGATCACATCAACCTTAGGGAAGTTATCATTTTCATCTCCCACATCCCCAAGGTCGTCGAGCCCATTAGGGTTAGACAAGCTAACCCTTCGGCTCACCTTGGGGGAGCTCGACACTTCATCCCCACCAACACGTCTACGACAACGAGATTGGACGCTCGAGGAGTGAAATAACCAAAAAAAGTATAGATATAAGGCACATGTAGAGAACAATCCTCAATTGCTTGAGGATCTAAACACCAGCGACCGAAGAGAAAAACTCCAGTAGTCACGTAGGGATCTAGGAAAAGAGAAAGAAAAGACAACGAATGACCTAAGCTCCTATAGTACAAGAAGTAGAATTACCAAAAATGAAATAACCACCATGGATTCGAAAAATCCAAGGTTAAGTAAGACACTGTCAGACAAATAAATTAGAGAAGAGGCCAAGCAGAATATGTACCTAATCGGAGGCGATTGTTAGTTAGGAACTTGCGAGGCAGGTAGTAAGGATAGGAAAAGCTTCAAGAGTCCACATGGTAGCTCACAAGAGGATCTGGGCATTCAATTGAGCATGTTTGAATGTAGGGAAAATAGGGAAGACGAAGGCACAAAGCAGAAAGAGAGAAAAAAAAATTGGAAAAAGTATGAGGGGATTTGAAAAGAAAAAAAAAAATAGGAGGGAATTTTGGTGGTTTTTCCTGCAAAGGTAATTAAGGCGTCAGACAAATGGCACAGTAACACCGAATGTACACAAAATTCTAGGCACAAACAACTCCTCGAAGTACGAGACATTAGAGTTTGTAGAGAATGTCCCATTACGTTTACTTCAGATGAACAGAAGTCGAGCTTATCCACAGCTAGAGCCGCAACTCATTCCCAATCCAAGTCAAGAAAGACAAACCTGACTTAGGACTAGGGGCAACTAATGATACCAAAAATGAGCCAAGGTTAAGCTCAACTCAGAAGCAAATCAGGAACATGCCCCCAATGTAGGCCCCACATGGCGATGTCATATTCGAATTTTACAACTTGGACATCTCAACCCAGTTCAAATTTTCAAGTTCAGATCCTAGATTAAGTCTTCCAAGTCGATAACCATTGTCGACGTGACCCCCACGCACGCTGCGATAGCAACAGCTCACACTTTTTGGAAGGCCTCGCCCCAAGAATATAGATTCTATCAACCAAAGATCTTGCCTTATGAGTAGTAATGACCCTAAGGGGATCACGATGGCGACGCATAGATCATGGCCATTAGCTGAGAATTATGACGGTTACTCGAGAATCACGTTGATAACGCCTAACTCCTACAGCCTATAAATAAGGATCAATCTCACATTTTATAGGAGAGAGAGATATGCCTAAGAGTTTACTTTCTGATAAACCGTGTAATCTTCTTCCTCAAATAATAACAAACCTCCTAGGAGCAAAAGACTCCATTAAAATGGACTAACCAAACTTCTGAGCTGGTGAACCACAATAAATCTAATGTCTATCAATTTCTATTGATGGTTATTGTCTCTGTGATTCGGGGTGCAATTCGGGCGGGTTGGACAGTCAACCCTAGCCCAACCCTAGATACATAATTTTAACCCTAACCCTAACCCTACCTCGGGTTGAGGGACTCAACTCGAGCACTGCCCGAGTTTAATTCGAGCGAACTCGGGTTGAATTCGGGTTAATGATTTCGGACTATTTTATGGGTTCAATTCGGATTGAACCCAAAATAAACTTGTTATTCTAAACCTGATACATATGTTGCATAATATTCATCTAAATTAATAACCAACAACTTCAATCAAGTTTTTAACATAAAAATCATAATATTAAGAACTCAATGTTTGAGATAATGTAACCACAACCATACAGAACTCAAATAAACACAACCAGAATCATTGTACAAACATAGAGTTCACTGCTTAAATAGTGAGTGAGGGAGGCGCACAATGAAGACTTTAGAACAGATTAACCCTAGACTTAAAAATATATTTATATGGTTATGAATATTTAGGTTGAACCCGATTTTAATATTCGGGTTCAACCATGTAACCCGAGGGGTCAACCAAAGGCCCGTCCATATTGAATTCGGATTAGGGTTTTTTGACCCGAGCCTAATCCAAGTATTTAAAACCCTAACCAAAGCCTTAATTTTTTCGGATTGGGCTCAGGTTAAAATCAGGTTAGCCTGCCCAAGTTGCACCCCTATCTGTGATTGACTATTTATCATTACGAGCCTAGTGTCTTTGAATGGACATCCCACTGATTTTACATTGGAATTTAGACTTCTATGGGGCAACTAGTACATAAAGGTTGTTCCTGAAAACGGTGTGTGAGCTGGAAAAAAATAAAGGGTGAGAGATCATAATGCAAGGGGACAAATAGAGTGTGTGTCAAAGAAGAAAATCCAACAGAGTTTTGTTCGACGTCAAGATCACATGGTGTGACAAAGTGGATCTTGACGAAATTTTAAAGATATATTCATTATGATCTAATCGTTGCATCTACTAGCTTTGATCTTTGATTAGATAAGTAGAATAATTTTCTATATGCATCAGTAAATAAATCTCTTCTTAAAATGTATATTTCACTATTATCATTTTAAATTATCTTTTGGTCTTGTTAAGTACCAGTGTTGCACTAAAATCTCTTTAAGTTTTCGTTTGATGCCCCCCAGTGATGTATTATGTTATATATACCACTTTTTTTTATTAGTGACGTGCTTGGTGACTTATCAGCACAAGTACACTCGGTGTGATTGAATTCGTTGTGAATTTTAATATTAAAAAATGTATTTATTGAAAAATTATTTACTATTTGAGATTCAAAACCACTAATTAATTTTTGTTTTTGACATAGCATTTCAATTGATTATGCTACTAATCCATTCGATGTCTAATAGACAATATACTAATGGCGAAGCAATGCTTGCATTGCGTGACTTACTGGTAAATTTAGCACATAGTATTTAGATATTTTTCAAGTATATTTTTTTTTCAGTGATAAATAACAATTATTACTTCAAATGGGGCCACTTAGAAGTAGATCCTCTAGCAGTATAAAATGAATTATCTATCATTTTAAAATTTTGAGGAAAAAAACTACGGGGATCAGAATCCACTTGCTCAATAATTGTTTTATGTGCGAGGACCTTATATTAAAGAGTGAACCTTAGTATAACAATAAATTCGTTCTATTGTGATTTGACAGTCAAGGGTTTAAATACAAAAATAGTATTTCTACTCACAGAGTTAACGATGTATGTATTTGACTTTTCCTAAACCTTAATTATAACAACAAAAATATCGTGCATTGGATCGAATCTTTTTATTGCCGGCAAACGACTGGCATGCTCCTTTTGACATTTCTTCATATTAGCATTATTTCCAAAAATGTTGCTATCCAGCCACTTGGTTCAGATGTATAAAGCGACAGGTT